ATAAATCTGTTTTCGGATATTGTTATAAAATTTATTCGCAAACAGATTTATCTTATAATTATATCTATTGCGCAGCACACACAATGAAGATCATTCAAATATTTTATATAAATAGAAATGAATCGTTGCTTGTGTAAAAGAGTAGAAGATATATTCTTAAATTGTTATTAATTTATATATTGTTTTCTACTATTTCACTGTAAGCAATAAAGCTAAGAATAATATTATATATATAATCCATTAGAATATTCAATACTTTTCATAGGAATAATTTCTAAGAAATGAAATTTTGTATCGTCTGGTAATTATGCAAATATTTATCAATTATATTCTTCACGTATGATATTAAAGAAATATAATCCTGTTAAACGTATCATATGATAATATCTGTTCTTTATCATAATGGTTTTATCATCATTATTTTTCTAATATTATTTATACAACCTAAAAGCTAACACAATTCTTTCTTATCTATTGTAAAGATGTTCTTTACTGAGAGAACATTTACGTGATATAATCTTACCTTATTGGAAAGACATTTTTTAAAATCTTCCTTCATATCAGACACAGAAACTCGATCGTGAGGTCTTTTTGGGCCACTGACGCTGGAAACTACTGTATTCAAGTCCAAACTAATAACTTCGGAGTATATAGGATCTTGTTGTTCATCTTCGTAATTTCTTAACATGTGTAAAGCGGTCAGATATTTCTCAATTTTTGCAATATGTTCTTCTGATCGATCTATAAATAAAATAATAAATCATTTTCTCTATATCTTTCTTAAGATTAGAAGATTTTTAATAAAAAGATAGATATCTTATTAATTATTTCAACATCTTACTAGTTTGTTTGAGATATGCTAAACTCTGTTTATCAACTGCAAAAAATCCAACTGTAGCTCCGTACTCTGGACACATATTTGAAATTGTTGCACGATCAGCTATACTTAATTGAGATACACCGGAGCCAAAGAATTCAACAAACTTTCCAACAACTCCTACTTGACGAAGATTCTTTAAATATAAATATATATTAAACAATTTTATAAACAAACATATATAAAAATTAATAAATGCATTCAAATTGTATACAAACCTTAGTAATAGTAAGTACCAAATCTGTTGACGTTGCGTATTGATTTAAAACACCTTCTAATTTGTAACCAACAACTTTAGGTATTAACATAGACAACGCTTGACCTAACATAACAGCTTCTGCTTCTATTCCTCCAACTCCCCATCCAAGAACACCAAGACCATTAATCATAGTTGTATGTGAGTCTGTTCCAACAACGCTATCATGGTAAAGAAGACTGTTGTTATCAAACACAACCCTGGCTAAATATTCTAAATTCACTTGATGAACGATACCGCTTCCTGGTGGTACTATTAACATATTTTCAAATGCCTTAGCTCCCCATTTTAAAAACATAAAACGTTCCTTGTTCCTTTCGAATTCAATTTCTTCATTTTTTGTCAATGCATCCGAACTACACGCATATTGAAATATTTAATAATTTGTTAAAGAAATAATTATAATTAAAATGAATAATAATAATTTTAAAATTGTGATCAATAATATTACCTTCTAATAAAATCAACTTGTATGGAATGATCAATAACGAGATCCGAAGGACAAATGGGATTTATTTTGTCAGGATTACCGCCCAATTTTTTAACAGCATCTCTCATAGCAGCAAAATCAACGACTGCTGGAACTCCGGTAAAATCCTATTTGTATAAATGTTTAATTTAAATAATTAATAGGATTCACATTTGTAATTTTAAATATACATTTAGTTCAAATGAATTTCAATATGTACTTGTAAAATAACTCTTGATGGTTTAAATGCTATTTCAACTCCTTCAGGAATCGTTTGATTGATCTCCCAATCGATGAGTTTTTCTACATCGCTGGTTTTCACTTGAAATCCATCGCAATTTCTGACAGTACTTTCTAATAAAACTCTTATCGAAAATGGTAATCTGTCTAATGAAAAATAAAACAAAATAAAATTAATAAAATGAATGTTGTTAGATAATTATAAATAATGTTATAAATACCATATTTTTCTCCAAATTGAGTGACATCATAATAACGATATTGTTTTGAACCACATTCTAAAGTTTTCACTAAGTTCTTGTAAGGATTGTCACCTGAAAAAAAAAAAGAAAACAAATTATTATTATTATTATAATTATGAAAAATACATTAAAAAAAATAAAAAAAAAATAAATAAATATTATTAATTATAATATTATATTATAATGGTTTTTTTCTCTTCTTCCTAATAATATATATATTAAAATAAAATTCAAAATATATTCAATAATGATAATCTGAAAATGTAATTCATCATATTTATAACAACAAAATTTCTTATCAATTCATAATATGCAAAAATATTAGAAAATATTGAAGAAGAAAAAAAAAAGATTTATAAATAATATTGCATATTAATAAAACAATGATATTAATTTTAAATAAAATAGAAACAATAATGTGTGTATAAACGCGCGCTCTTAAATAACATTCAAAAGAAACATCTTAAAATGTCATAATAAAAATGATTAATTCTTTAATAATATACTTTACGTTAGTGTTCTTTTAAATAAAATGAATGAATAACTGTTAAAGATAAAACAAAAGAAATATATATATATATATAAAAACAATAAAAAAATAAGATTAATAAAAGAAAGTACAGTTTTTCAACCTACCGGCCATGATCGTTGTTGCTTAAGTCACGTCGTCTACACAACGTAATCGTGATTTTCCATGACAGATAAAAAAAAAAAAGTATTATTGTGTTAGTATTGCATACACTCCCACAGATGCAATCATTGATTACACGTTCTCCATCTACAGGGAAAATAACAAAACAAATTTAGTTTAAAATACAAATTTTGACGTTTCTTATGATGGTATCAGTAAATTACTATTTTACTGATTATAAAGATCAAATTACTTTGTGATATGATTTTATTACATTATTTTATATCTATGGAGGATAGAGGTAAGGAGTAACACCTCTTATAGGAGAAAATGTGAAAAAATGTTTATTTAATTTTATGAAAAAGTATATTAATAACAAAACAGTTATGAGTAAAATTTATGTTCCTTGTTTATTTCTCAATTCTACTCTAATAATATTTGGCGCTTCTTTTAAAATTGACACTCTGCGACCTGTGGCGCCACCCTATTGCATACATTTCGACAGACACTTTTCATATACAGATATGTTACTCCTTACCTCTACCCTCCCATATTAATATCAAATATATATTTGATATATTCATATTTTTGTGTTTACTTTTTAAATAACCTATACATGTAGATAGCAATGAAAACCAATGAACGATAAAGATATATATATATATATATATAAGATATGTAATTCTATATACTTATAATATTGGATTTAGTTCCTTATTGTTTTCTATAGTTTCCTACAATGAAAGAAATCCCCTACTTCTTGAAATTTTTTTAATGTCCATCTCATAAGTTTATCAGATTGTACTTCTTTAATTTTCTTTAGTTCTTAAGTGCGTTTCTTTTATTGTATTAAAGTAAAGTATATTTTAATTATATTCAAATCTGTTTATAAAAAAATATAAGTTATAATATATTATATTATAAAATTAGATTATTTTTGTATAAATAAAAAATTAGACATCATGGACAATCATATCCGATCACCTCAACCTTTAAGCAAAAATTCTGCGAAGGATTGGCAAATATGGAAACAAGAATTTCTTATTTTTATGACGTTGCTTGGACATATGGCAAAATCAGAGTTTTACAAAGCGAATCTTTTTAAAAATTTAGTAGGATCGGTAGGTATTGAAATAATAAATAAATTGTCCTTTGATCGTCCAGCAGACAGAGACAATTTGGATATACTGTTGAAAAAAATAGATGAATATTTTAATCCACCAAGAAAAGAAGTAGAAAAACGATATCAATTTTTTAACAGTTCTATGAATCCAAATGAAACAATAGAAAGTTATATAAAAAGTTTAAAGGTATGATATATTTGTATTCAATTTCTTTTGTTTTCTTTTATCTTTTTCATTTGTTATATTATACTTGTTTATTTCATTTAAAATTACATTACAATTAGTATATTATATATATATATTATACTATACTATATATTAGTATATATAGTATAATATAGTGTATACTATACTATATATACTAATATATATTATATACTAATATATAATATAGTATTTATACTATACTATACTACCATATATTAGTATATGTAGTATATTATACTATACTAATACATATATTTATAACTATATATATTATATATTAACTATACTACTATATATTAACTACTTTAGTGGTTTGTTTTTTAGGATAAAGCGAAAAATTGTAAATTTGGTGATTTGGAAGATAGTTTGGTAATAGACGTTATTATTCTTCATGCCAATGATAAAGTGTTACGTAAAAAATATTTGCAAGAAGATAATCTTACTTGTGAAAAAGTAATAGAAATTTACAAAAATCATAAAATTTCTATTTTGGAAAGTAATTCTGCAAGTGCCACTGTTCCGTCCAAACAAAAATCTAAATCAAATGTAAATGTAAATGTTAAAGAAAAAGAAAAAGAAAAAGATAATTCTAATGTTCAACAAAGAAAGAAAGTTTGTTCGAAATGTAATACTTCCCATGAATATAAACAATGTCCAGCTTGGAATCATAAGTGTACAACTTGTGGTGAGATGCATCATTTTGAACGTTGTTGCAAAAATTTATCAAATCAAAATAAAACTTTGAATAAAAGTATGGTAAGTTGTTCTTTTTTTTTTCTTTTTTTCTTTTTAAACAAAAAATATTTAATATAGTAATGTTTATACATATATGTATATTTGTGTTATCAATTATTACTTTAAGATTTAATATTTTGTTTAATATTATATTTTCACTCTTTTATCTTTTCTTTTTTTGTTTTTTCTATTGTAGAATAATCTGACAGTGAATAAAAATAAAGGAAAATCGGTAAATGAAGCTAAACAATTGAACAATTTATCAAAGCAATTTTAAAAAGTTGCAGAATGTGCAATCATTTTAATGAAACGCATTATGCAAATATATATATATATATATATATATATATATATA